GTTTTGTAGTTTAGTTGTAACTTTGATGTGGTTGTGGGAGGACGCGATACCGCGTTTACCTACACCACCATCTTGACCGGAAGCCTGATTTACTTTTAAATAAGAACAAATACACCAATAAACATCACTAAAGATAGTACGATAATTTGAAGTTTAGATTTTTTACTTACTGTTTTTTAGGTAGTACTGACCTATCTTCATTTATAGTATTTCTTGAAGCAGGAATAAAAAAAACAATTGTAGTTTTTTCACCGAAACTAATGTTATGCCCTAAGGACTAAATGAGACAGGTATATAATGTATTTGGTTTGTAACAAATGCCCTTCCAGTCCTCTATTCTACTTTCAGCTTAACTATTATTGTACATTTCAGTCTCACTCCTTTTTATCACTGCAGGTCACCAGCAACTGTTCAAAGCAACACTGTATTAAGCTTTTTTGGCTGTGCTGATTTCCTCTGACTTCTGTAGTAACAGTAACTGCTTTGTTGTCATATCCTCCCCTCCAATTCCTCCCTTTCTACCCTAATCACTGGTCTTAGAAACTTAGGAAACAGGCAGAGGACTGGCTAAGAAGAAAAATAAGGCCACTGGTATCAATTTGTTGATGTTATAAAAACAAACCTGCCCTTGAAAATAGTGTCAATTTCTCACAGCTATCTTCTCACAGCTACTAAACTACTCCTTGATGCTGCTCCTGGTCATGTCTTCGGTTTTACACATAGAATTGTTTTTTAAGTAGTTTTCAATCTATCAACATAATCACATGTGAAAAAATGTTATAGGTTAACAGTGGATCTGGAGAAAAAGGTGTCTTGTGGGAAGAATCTTAATTTGTTTGCCCCAGAGTCCAAAAACAATAACAAAGATTCTTAAGATTTCCTCTTAAAAGTTGAAATGCCATCTCATTTGAACTGAACTATATAGAAGATTTTCCTTGGGATAATAGAGTAATTCCATTGTTGTCTTCATTGTTTTGTTAATCCTCACTAGAGGATATTTTTCCATTGATTTTTAGATAGAATGGAAGGGAAGGGGGGAAAGAGAGACTGAGACAGAGGGATCGACTGGTTGCTTCCCACATGACCCCAACCAGGGCCGGGGATGAACCTCAACCAAGGTGTGTGCTCTTGACCAGGAATCAAATCTGCAAACCTTTGGTCCATGGGCCAACGCTCTAACTGCTGAACCAAAATAGTCAGAGCTAATTTCATTTATTTATTGTTCTATGAACTGTTCATTTTACACTGTTCTATGACTTGAGAAATTTAGATGTACAAATATATAGCTGTTTTGCTAGAATGGATGGAGAAGTAAGGGTATTTTTAAAGTTGAATATCTGAGAAGGGGAAGAGAGAAAACCAAAAATCTGTGCTTACATTCTGTGTGAGAAGACTATTAATGTTCCAGTTGTAGAAAATACTCTGTTTGCAATATACTAAATGAAGAGAACAGTATATATCATATGTCTGTAGAAATATGTGGATTAAAAAGAGAATAATATGTGGATTAAAAAGAGAATAAAAGGATCTATCTCATAAGCTTAATACGGGCTAACTTCAAGTACTAGGACTATCATTGACTGAGTTTTCTATTTTTGTGTTCCTGTATTTCCTAGATTTTTCCACAACAAACCTATATAATTTTCATAATAACAAACAGAGCATTTTGTTTTAAATATATAAACTATGTTAAGATAAAGAAAACAGCCCTAGCCAGTTTGGCTCAGTGGTTACATCGATGGCCCACAGACCAAAGAGTTGTTGGTTTGATTCTGGTCAAGGGCACATACCTGGGTTGCAGTTTGGTCCCTGGGACTGGTCAGGGTTGTGCGGGTGGCAACCTGTCGATATGTCTCTCTCACATAGATGTTTCTCTCTCCCTTTTTTTTCTCTTTCTCCCTCCCACTCTATCTGAAGATAAATGTAAAAACATCCTCAGTGAGGATTAAAAAATAATAATAATAAATAAATAAATTTTGACATAGAATCTATAAATTATAAAATAGAGTCTATTTATTTTAAAAAACAAAACCGCACATTTGTGAGCCAAATAAACACCATGTGAGTTTTTCATTTTCCCCAAACACATACACAGAATCTGCCTTGCATTTTATGAGCACAAAGTGTAGAATAGCCCTTTCATTCCATAAAAATATGTTGTGCTGATGTTTTTAACAATAAACTTCTAAACTATCAAAAAGAATGCAGATCACAATCAGTGAACAAATATTTTTTTAAAAAACCAAAAAGCTACAAAGTTATGCCATGAGCTGTCAGTGACAATGTGGCTACTAAAATTTCAGTCATTTGATAAATACAAAGAGCCAGGTAAGAACAACAATGAATGGACAACTTATTTTATTCATGATTAACTATATTTTTATTTTTTTAAATCCTTCTGAAGATGATTTTTTAAATGTTTTAAGTAACTATGAATAAAATGTGCTTATTTAGCTGATTCTTCTAGCCTCTATTTTTCTTGATTCCAACCATTATTAGTAATTACATAGTGCCTCATTCATTGGCGATATGCCAACTCCCTGACTCTGGCTCAGCTGTCCTGTTTTTGCCTTGGTCACTGCTGATCAGTTCTCACTTACTTTAAAATTTCACTTACCTGAACCTGACTTTACTGACACTTGGTTTACATATCAACTGCCTACTCTTATCTTTTACTGCCAGTTTACAAACCAATTAAGGTACCTAGACAACAAAGAATGAAGTGCTACATACACAAAACCATAGAAAATGATAGGTGGGGTGGGAATGAATTTAACAATTTATTTTGAAACATTTTTTTGGAAACAACTTGATGCTAAGAGCTATGAATACATTTGACCTTAAAGATTTTAAATTTAAATTATTCTGTAAGTTAATATTTTGTCAGAAATAAAGCCTGCATCTAATTAAATTTTAAGATAACCATTCATAACTAGGTCTAAAATGTTAGCTATTTATAACCATAAATACAACATAAAATAATAATTAATAACTAAATAATTAATAATTAGTAACTACATGTACAAATGAAAGAGTGTCAAAAACAAGCTCACTGGCAACATTTTTCATTTTTTTTTCCTTTCCTCTCTATCTGCACTTAGTATATTTCCTTCAGTCGTTGTCTTTAAAATATGTACTAAAAAAAAATGTCTTGCCCTGCCAGCCTGCCAGTGTGGTTCAGTTGGTTGGTTATCCTCCCGTGCACCAAAAGATTGCCATTTTGATTCCTGTCAGGGCACACCGGTTCTCACATAGATGTTTCTCTCTCTCGCTCTCTCCCTCTCCCTTCCTCTCTAAATATCAATAAAAAATATTTTTAAAAAAGTCTTTAAGAACTGCATAATCAAAAAAAGTGGACTGAAATACAATGCTATCTATAAAAAAGTATTAAATATAAAACTTACCAGTACTAAAGTATGTTAAAAGATACTCAACATGTTTTTAAAATTTCTTTGCTTACTAGTGATATTAACCATTTTTCTAAAAGTTTATTAGCTATTTCCTCCTCTAAAAGTGTTATTCATGTCTTTTATCTATTCATCAATTTTATGTTTCCTTACCAATTTGTACGAGCTCTTTATAAGTATTATGGTTATTAACTCTTTCTGTCATATATTTTGCAATTATTTCCACCCATCTTTGTTTTCTTTTAAATTTGGTTTTAGTTTTTGGTTAGTGTGCTCTCATTTCTTTTTTTTCCCATCTTTTTATTTTATTTTATTTTATTTTTGTTACAGATGTTTCTCCTTTTTTACCCCCTTGGCACCCTCCTTCCCATCCCCCCCACCATGTCTATTGGTTATGCATACATGCATATAAGTTCTGTGGTTTCTCTCTTCCCACCCCCACCACCCCCTGTGCTCTCATTTCTTAATCATAAATTCATTATATTAAGTATATGACATAAGTAAATTTATATTTTCCACTAAAGAGAATGGAGTAATTCGGTGCTAATAAAAATTACAGTAAAAAAGAAGGGCAAACTAGTCTGAATTTCAGTTTGTCATTTAGAAGGGGCACTTCAAAACACATGAAAAAAACTATTATTTTCCAAATGATCAGAACATTTCAAAATGATGAGACTTGTATAAGTCTGAGGAGGAATAAAAATAGTAAATACAAGATAGGTTACCCAATGAATTATGAAACCGAATAACAATGATTAAACACAAATTAATTTATACTCAGACAATAAAAATATTAATCAAAGAAATAAAACTATGAGAAATCTTCTACCTGCCTTTTTTTGTTAATCCTCACCACAGGATATTTTTTTCCATTGATTTTTAGAGAGAGTAGAAGGGAGGGAGAGAGGGAACAACAGAGAGACAGCAATTGGTTGCCTCCCACTCATGCCTCAATAAGGGCAGGGACCAAACCTGCAACCCAGGTACATGCCCTTGACTGGGAATCAAACCCACAACCCTTTGGTGTGTGGGCCGACCCTCTAACTACTGACCCACACCAGCAAGGGTCTCTTTTCCCCCTTTAAGGTGATTTATTATTGGAAATATGAAAAAGAATAGGCTTATATTTCTCTTTTATGAATATTCAGAAACAGGAGTCTGTAAATTTTGCAAAATAATTTCTTTTCAAGAATATCAGTTTTAGAGATAAAACTAAGAAAAGTATCCACAAATAATGGCATTTAGAAAGTTATAAGACAAAAATTAAAAGTAGAAAACTTCCTATTAATATTATCAATATACTGACGGAGTAAGTCTAAATGTATACCATGCATTAAGAAAATCTAATATACAAAAATCCAAATTTACTTAATAAAGTACTAATATGTGTTTATATGACACAATGTTACTGGGTTTGTAAAAGGATTCAATATAAATTTTCTAAATGGCCATTTTCCTCAACAAAGTTAAATGCATAAAATTTTAATATCTCTTTGAGACAGTGATCCAAGCTTCTTCCTTGAAGGATGTTACCAGTTCATATTTAGTTTCAATAACTTGTCCCTCCACAGGAAGTATGTGCAGTCTCCTCACCAATACACTCAGAAGTACTGTGGTCACCATATACGCAAACCTAGTTAGGAAGAAAGTTGAATAGTTACTAAGGATTAACAATTACTCTTTAATTATACAGATTGTGCATTCTCATCAACAGTGATGATCAACTTTATTAGTATAAAGTCTGATACCTTTCCTTTCACTTTACTTTCTCTGTCACCTCACCTCAACTCAGGGCATTCCTGTGTGCCTGAGAATCCAAGCAAGGAGAAAGTTTCCATTATTGATTCATCATCAAACCGGTCTGGATCAAACCTAAAGAGAAGACTGGTATTTAATTTTTTATTTAAAGTCACCCCAGTATATTTAATTTAAAAAAAAGTTTGGGGGCACTTCACAATAGAACTCCACTAGCCTTTTATATATTTACACTTTAAGAGCACAGTAAAATTTAAAACTACTGAAAATAGAAACTGCTGTCACATTATATTTAAATTTCACCTATTATTATGTTCCAAATTATTCAACATATATTTCATCTCTTTTTGCTAATTTTATTCTAAATAACAGATGCAAAATATATTTCTCTGGAACCAACAATGAATAAGATTTTAATACAACTTGATATCATTATATGAGATATAAGGATAAATTATACAAAAATCACATAATAAATATTTAAATTTTAGTTTTCAAAATATCTGTTACATTAGACCATCTGATCAATATGCAAAGCATTCTACATTGCCTTGGCAATTAAATTTATTTTTTAAAATTCAAGACATCAAACAAATATAATTATATTCATTAATTATATTATACCCAGACTTACTAAGTGAAGGAAATGAAGAAGCTAAGGTTTTTTATTGTACAGAATTTCCTCAAAAAAAATAGCAGGAGAGCCCTGGCTGGTTTGGCTCAGCAGTTAGGGCGTTGGCCTGCAGACCAGAGAGTCCTGGGTTCAGTTCCCACTAAGGGCATGTTCCTTGGTTGCAGTTTGTCCCCAACACCAGTTGGGGTTGTGTGGGCAGCAACCGGTCTATGTGTCTCTCTCACATCGATGTTTCTCTCTCCTCTTCCCCCCTTTCTCCCTCCCACTCTATCTGAAGATAAATGCAAAAATGTCCTTGGGTGAGGATTAAAAAAAAAAATGCAGGGGAAATGATATAGTAAAACAAGACAAATAAACCACTCATTATGGAGCATAACATTTCATCTCCAAAACAAATATTTCTTTGAAAAGACCAACAAAATTGATAAACATTTAACCAGACTCAACAAGAAGAGGATCCTATAAATAAAATGAGAAATGAAACAGAAGTAACAACTGACACCACAGAAATACAAAAGATTATAAGACAATATTATGAACAACTATTTGCCAAAAAATTGGACAATCTGGAAGAAATGAATAAATTTCTAGAAACATACAATCTTCCAAGACTGAATCAAGAGAAGAAATGAATAAATTTCTAGAAACATACAATCTTCCAAGACTGAATCAAGAAGAAACAAAACCTTGCCCTGGCCAGTTTGGCTCAGCGGTTGGAGCGTCCGCCTGTGGTACAGAGAGACCCGGGTTCGGTTCCCGCTAAGGGCACGTACCTCGGTTGCAGTTTGTCCCCGGCCCTGGTTGGTCGTGCGGGTGGCAGCCACTCGATGTGTCCCTTTCACATCGATGTTTCTCTCTCTCTCTCTCTCCCTCTTCCTCTCTCTCCCTCCCGCTCTATCTGAACAAAAAAATGGTCCTCGGGTGAGGATAAAAGAAAAGAAGAAGAAACAAAACCTGAACAGACTAATTACAATGAACAAAACAGCAGTAATAAAAAACTCCTGCCCTGGCCAGTTTGGCTCAGCAGTTAGAACGTCGGTCTGCAGTTCAGAGAGACCTGGGTTCAGTTCCCGCTAAGGGCGCGTATCTCGGTTGCAGTTTGTCCCCGGCCCTGGTTGGGTTGTGCAGGTGGCAGCCACTCGATGTGTCCCTTTCACGTCGATGTTTCTCTTCCTCTCTCTCCCTCTCACTCTGTCTGAAAAAAAAAAGGAAAAATGTCCTCAGGTGAGGATAAAAAAAAAACTCCTAGCAAACAAGTCCTGCTGGATGGCTTCACTGGTGAATTTTACCATTTAGAGAACTACCACCTACTCTTCTCAAACTATTTCAAAAAATTCAAGAGGAGGGAATACTCCCAAGCTCATTTTACAAGGTCAGCATTATACTAATTCCAAAATCAGATAAAGACACCACAGAGAAAAAAAAAATTACACATCAATATCCTTGATGAACATAGATTTGAAAATCCTCAACAAAGTATTAGCAATGGAATTCAGCAACACATTAAAAAGATCACGCACCATGATCAAGTGGGATTTATTCCTGGGATGCATGATAGGTTAAATAGCCACAAATGAATTAAGACGGTACACCATATAAACAAATAAAAGATAAAAATCTTATCATCATGCTCTAGCTGGGTAGCTCGGTTGGCTGGAGCATTGTCTTGTACACCAAAAGGTTATGGGTTCGATTCCCAGTCAGGGCACATACCGAGGTTGTGGGTTTGACCCCTAGTTGGCGAGCACACAGGAGAGAGGTAATCAATTGATGTTTCTCTCTCATATTGATGTCTCTCTCTCTCTCTCCTCCTCCCTCCCTCCCACTCTATCTGAAAATAATCAATGGAAAAATATCCTTAGGTGAGGATTAAAAAAAATCATATCATCATATCAATAGACTCAGAAAAAGCATTTGACAAAATCCAGCACCCATTTATGATAAAAACTCTCAGCAAAGTGGGAATAGAGGAAACATACTTCAACATAATAAAGGGCATACAAGACAAATCCACAGCTAACATCATACTCAACAGGGAAAAAACTAAATGTTTCCCTTAAAATCAGGAATGGAACAAGATAGGGATGTCCCATATTCACCACTCTTATTCAACATAGTACTGGAAGTCCTAGCCACAGAAATAAGACAAGAGGAAATAAGGGCATTCACATTGGAAAGGAAGAAGTAAAACTGTCATTATTTACAGATGCCATGATATTGTATATAGAGTACCCTAAAGATTCCACCAAAAAACTACTAGAACTGCCCTGGCCGGTTTGGCTCAGCGGTTAGAGTGTCAGCCTGTGGTCCTGAGAGACCCGGGTTCGGTTCCCGCTAAGGGCGCGTGCCTCGGCTGCAGTTCGTCCCCGGCCCTGGTCAGTTGTGCAGGTGGCAGCCACTTGATGTGTTCCTTTCACATCGATGTTTCTCTCTCTCTCTCTGTTCCTCTCTCTCCCTCCCACTCTACCTGAACAAAAAATGGAAAAATGTCCTCGGGTGAGGATAAAAAAAAACTACTAGAACTGATAAATGAATTCATTGAAGTAGCAGGATAGAAAGTAAATATTCAGAAATCAGTTGCTTTTTATACACCAATCAGAAAGAGAAATTTAAAAAAAAATCTCATTTACAATTGCATAAAAAATAAAGCTAGGAATAAATTTAACCAAGGAGATAAAAGACCTGTACTCCGAAAATTATAAGGTACCAAAATAAGAAATTGCAGAACATACAAATAAATGGAAGCATATACCGTGTTCATGAACAGGAAAAATAAAAATTATTATTTTTATTGATCTTAGTAAGGGAGAGAGAGAAACATCAATGTGAGAAAGAAACATCAGTTGGTTGCCTCCCCCATGCACCCCGACCAGGGATCAAACACATAACCTGGGTATGTGTCTTGACCCGGAATTGAATCTGCCACCTTTTGGTGTATGGGACAACACTCCAAACAACTGAGCCACACCAGCCAGGGCAGAATAAACATTATGTCCATACTACCCAAAGCAATCTATACATTCAACAGAATTTCTATCAAAACACAATGATGATTTTCACAGAACTTGAACAAATAATCCAAAAATTTATATGGAAACACAAAGACCCCAAATAACCACAGCACTCATGAGAAAGAATAACAAAGTTGGAGGTATCACACTACCTGATATCAAACTATAACACAAGGCTACAGTATTCAAAACAGCATGGTACTGGCATAAAAACAAACATATAGCCTGGCCGGTGTGGTTCAGTGTATTGAGCACTCTCCCATGGACTGAGAGGTCCTGGTTCGACTCCTGGTCAGGGCATGTATCTGAGTTTCAGGCTCGATCCCCAGTAGTGGGTATGCAGGAAGCAGCTAATAAATATTTCTCTCTCACAGTGACATTTCTATCTCTCTCTTCCCTTCCTCTGTCTCTAAAAAATCAATAAAAACATATATTTTTTTTAAAAAAATAGAGCTCAATGGAACAGACTAGAGAACCCAGAAATAAATCCACACGTATGCGGTCAATTAATTTTTTAAAAATATGTTTATTGATTTTTAGAGAAAGAAGAAGGAAGAGAGAGAGAAAGAAAAAAAAAAAACACTGATGTGAGAGCAAAGCATCAATCTATTGCTTCCTGTATGCCCTATACTGGGGATTGATCCCACAACCCAGGCTTGTGCCCTGACTGGGAATCAAACCAGCAACCTTTTCAATGCACAGGATGCCACCCAACTGATTGAGCCACACCAGCCAGGGCATCGGTCAATTAATATTTGACAAAGGAGGCAAGAACAGACAATGGAGTGAAGATAGCCTATTCAATAAATAGTGTTGGGAAAATTGGATAGATATGTGCAAGAATATGAAACTAGACCACCTTCTTGGACCATGCACAAGAATAAACTCAAAATGGATTAAAGACTTGCCCAGCCAGTGTGGCTAAATTGGTTGAGCATTGTCCCATGCACCAAGAGGTCACTGGTTCGATTTCCAGTCAGGGCACATGCCCAAGTTGTGACCTTGATCCCCAGAGGGGGCATGTAGGAGGCAGCCCACTGATGCTTCTCTCTCAAATCAATAAAAGCATGTTTTTTAAAAAATGGATTAAAAACTTGAATGTAAGATTTGAAACCATAAAACTCCTAGAAGAAAACATAGGCAGTAAAATCTCTGACATTTCTCTTAGCAATATTTTTTCTGATGTATCTTCTTGGGCAAGGGAAACAAAAGAAAAAATAAATAAATGGGACTACATCAAACTAAAAAATTTTTGCACAATAAAGGAAAACCATCAACAGAACAAAAAGACAATTACTGAATGGAAAAAGATATTCGCCAATGATAGATGTGACAAGGGCTAATACAAAAAATTTATAAAGAACTCATACAACTCAACACTAAAAAAACAAACACTCCAATTAAAAAATGGGCTGAGCCCTGGCCGGTTTGGCTCAGCGGTTGGAGCGTCCGCCTGCGGTCTGGAGAGACCC